TTTGCTAGTATTATGTCAAGAATTCTTGTATCTATGTGTTTATGAGGGACATTCACTTATAGTACTATTTTTTCTGTATTTGACTTGTTATTAGGGCAATACAAGCTGCCTTAAATGAATAGGAAAGTGATCCCCCCTTCTATTTTCTGAAAGAGACTGTGCAGAAATGGTGTTATCCTTTAAACATTGGTAGATGGCACATGGAATACAGAAATACCAAATACCCATGACTCCTCTTCTATTTTAAATGTTGGTAGAACTTTCCAGAAAAACTATCTGTGTCTGGAGATTTCTTATTGGGAGCCTACTTAATTACATATTGGATTTTCTTAATAGTAATAAGGCTATCTGAGTAATTTATTTCTCATTTGTTTATGGTTTTTGAGGAATTAGTCCATTGCATCTTCATCTATGTTGTCAAATTTATGTGTGTTGAGTTCCTCATAGTATTCCCTTATTATCCTTTTTAGGTCTGCAGGGTCTTTAATGATAACTCCTGTTTCATGTGTGGTATTGGTAATTTGTGACTTGTCTTTTTTTTTGGTCAGTCTTATAGAGGTTTGTCCATTTTATTTATCTTTTCAAAGAACTAGCTCTGTGTTTCATTGATTTTCTCTGTTTTTATGTTTTCAATGTTATTGATTTCTGCTCTTATTTTTCCTTTCTGGTTTTAGGTATATTTTGCACCTCTTACCCTAGGTTCTTGAGATAGGGGCTTATATTCTTGATTTGAGAGTTTTTTTCTTTTCTAATGTATTCATTTAGTGCTATAAATTTCCCTCTCAGCACTACTTTAGCTGTGTCCCCCAAAATTGTATATGATATACTTTGTTTTTCAATCAGTTTGAGATATACACACATAGAGATGGGTGTGTGTGTGTGTGTGTGTGTTTTCCTGGATTTTCCTATTTGACTTACGGATTATTTATTTAGAAGTATATTGATTAGATTCCAACTGTTTAGAGATTTTCCTGTTAAGTATAATTAATTTTTAGTTTGAAAATATTGTGATCTTAAAATAGACTTCACATGAGTTCAAATACTCAAATATTTTTAAATTAGTTGAAGTTTGTTCTGTGGCCCAGGATTTCGTTTATATTGCTAACTACTCCGTGGGCATTTAAAAAGATTGCATATTCTGATGCTATCAAGAATAGTATTCTATAAATGTCGATTAAATCTTGTTGGTTGATGGTGTCAATTTTCTACATCTTTGCTGATTTTCTGTCTGTTGCTTTATCAACATTAAGAGAGGAGTATATCTAATGATAACCTAAAATATGCAACTGGAATGTATAGGCACAAATCATAAGAGAAGCCAAAATGTAAAATGGACATCAGTCAACATATTTGTGTATGAGCTTGTGTATTCATATTTGTGAATATGAATATCATATTCAGCTTTGTATGATATGCCTTGAATACATGTCAAGAGGCATGGAAAAGAGAGGACATTTTTGATAAGTACTAAATAAGTGGATTCAACAAAATATAAAGACCAGTAGAGTGTGAGAGGTAAGGAAAATGAACTCAAGAATCACTTGCAGATTCTCAGTTTGGATTACTGCATGAATGGAGGTAACAGTAACAGAAACACAGAGTGCACTGAAGAAAATATGGTTTGCAGGGTAGGGTAAAGTTATAGAACTCAATTCACGTCATCTTGAGCATAAGATGTGTATAGACTAATCAGAGATGTCTAACAATAAGTTAGTGCTCAGCAGGAAAGTCAGATGTAAACAGGAGATTTAGGAGCCATGATTTAATAAATGATCCTCAAATATAACTACTTGGAGATCATCCAGGAAACATAAGCAGAATAAGAAAATGGAACTAAGACTATGATCCAGCTAAACTTTAATGTTTAGGACCAAAGTGAAAGAAACAGAAGAAAAGAAGAACTGTCAGGATCGAAGGAAGAAAATGAGGAGTAGAGTTTAATTCAGTTCTATAAGTATTTATTAATTGTGTGGTGTGTGCTACACACTATGCTGTGAAACTGGCTTTTATCCTATTCTAGAAGTTACCCTCTTTTAGATGTAAACAGATCATTTCAGTACAGTGTGGCCAGCTCAGTAACAGACAGGCTTGAAAGTAACAGGACCACAGAAAGGGGCACTACACACAGCCCAAGATCCTGAGAAGAAACTTCTCAAGAGATGATAACATCTAAGCAGAGTCTACAAAGAAAGTAGGAGTTAACCAAGAAAGGAAAGACAGGAGGAAACTCACACCAGGTAAAAGAAACAGCACGAATATTAGCAAAGGACCATGGAGCTCAAGAGAGAGGAGAGAATCACCTAAAAGGAACGGTCAGCAGGGCTGAACTCCAGTAAGAGAAAAAATAAAATCAGATTAAAGAAGGCCCTTTGACTTTGTCACTTATGAAGTAACTGGTGACCTCTGCTACAGTAGCTTCTATCAACTGATGTGAACATAAATCAAACTATGGTGAGATGAGGAGTAATTGAAGAATATGAGGTTCAGGAATGTGGGCAGGATATTTTTTCAAGGAACTTAGTGTAGAAGAAAATAAGGATGGCATAGCTAGAAGTGAGCAAAGGTCTAAAAGACTTTGCTTTGTGATCAGAGAAAGTTAAAGACATTTACAACTTAAAAAGCCTCTTTTATAAGTTGTAGAAAACAAGTCAGAGTGCAGAGAAAAGGTTTTAACTTGTAGTTAATTTCATTCAATTATTCACACAACCAATATTTATAGAGCATCTATACTCTTCTTGAGCAAATCATTCCAACACAGAAACAACCCTCCATCATAGTATCAATATCATGTTCTAAATAAACTTGAGAAATAATAGAAGCCCACGGCAAAAAGCACAAAACATTTGGGTATATCAGTTCTAAAACAGCTTGAAACTTATAACCATAAATATGTTGGCATCTTTGGCTTTGTCATATTTGTGTAAGCAGTACCACAATTCAATATAACTATTCAGTGTTGATATTTTGTTTACTTCAAGAGAAATTATTTTAATAAAAAACATTATATTGCAGAGACAATGGTATAAAATTATTTGTCAAGATTATTTTAATTATTACAAATACCTAAATGCATATCCAGTCTGTAAGACATAAAAGCACTATATAAAAGATGTAGAATAGAATATGAATTCCAAAATGCATACAAGTCTGTAAGATATAAAAGCAGGATGTAAAAGATGTAGAGTATGATGGTTTAATACTTGTGTCAAAGTCTACCTTAATATTTCTTAGCATTCAGAGACAGAAAACCAGCCAGTTAAAAATGAAAGAACACAAATGGTCTTTAAGCGATGATGAGGCCTAGAGTATTCCAGAAAGATTGAGAATAGCCTCTTGTGTTTTCAAATTCATTGACTTACAGAATTTTAAGAGGGCAAATTGACTTAAAATCATATAATACTGTTCTCCACACCCTACATATAAAATTCTCTACTTCACAAGCCTTGTCTGGTATTGACAGAACACTTATGAGAGCCTTATATTTGAGAAGTTGTCTGTTTGTTCTACTGCCAACCATTGAAATTTGTCTCTATTATTCCCAAAACGTAACTCTCTGTAACTCTGTATTACAAGACTACATACTTTATATGTAGCAACTTTTTAAATATCAAAATATGGTATCTGCACATTAAGTGTATTATTTGTCAGACTAGCCATTCCTAATTCCTCCACCTATTTTTTTTTTCTTTTTTTGAGATGGAGTCTCACTCTGTCACCCAGGCTGAAGTTCAGTGGCATGAGCTTGGCTCACTGCAACTTCTGCTTCCTGGGTCCAAGTGATTCTCCTACCTCAGCCTCCTGAGTAGCTGGGATTACAGGCACGCACCACCACGCCTGGCTAATTTTTGTATTTTTAGTAGAGACCAGGTTTCACCATGTTGGCCAGGCTGCTCTTAAACTCCTGACCTCAAGTGATCCACCCTCCTCGGCCTCCCAAAGTGCCGGTATTACAGGCATGAACCACCATGCCCAGCCCACCTCCTTCTTGTATACATTATTTTTATGCTATTCCCTTCTTTCAAAGATGCTTTCTAGTAAGTTCATGATTTTTTTTACCCTTTCAGTTAATCTGAATACAAATTATCAAATGTGGAAGAGTAAAGTAAGATTATATCACTGCACATGGTGAGTATTTTTTAAATAGCAGTTCTACCAACAGCTTATGTTTAAGTTATGGACATTATAATACCCAGAGATTTAGCTACATAAACTGCAACCAGCCCAAGTTTTCCCTTTTTCATTTCTATATTTTTTAATCTAAGACTGTAAAGATTTATGTTTTTTCTATCTTGTTAAATTTGTCCCGAAAGTCCAAGGTCATTTTGAATAATTTAGCAAACTACCATATCAGTTATCCCTCCAAGATTTTGATCTTCTACAGATCTGATAGGTATGTATTCTAAGTCTTTATGCAAGACATTGATAAAGTTAAATGGTATAGGCATATGAAGGAAACTTCCTATATACACAGAAATCGTATTCCTAGGTGACACTGATATATGGATCTGAATTTTTAAAGTTATTTATTCAGCTATAAATCTGGTCAGTCTATATACCTATGCCTTATACAGAGAGCTTTATTAGAAACAAAGGAAATTATTTAGTTAAAATTGAGACAACATGACTTTGGACATCCATTAATCTTATAAAAACACAAAAAAAGGAATCTACATTGCTTGTTTTATGATTACTATTTTCTAGGACTCTAAAATCAGTATCAATTTGCCAATACTTTCTAAAAATCTGTAAGGGATAGATACAAAGCTTGTTATTTTATGTTCTTCAGAATTTAATTCTGACTGTTCAACAAAATTGAAATAACTGGCTAGTATTTCCTACATATCCCTTTCTACTTCAGAATTCTATTTTTCACTGGAAGAAGATACAATAATGTCCCCTGTCCCCACCCAAATTTTTTCTGATCCTATTCAGGACTGCTTCATGAAAAGTTTTAATAAAATAAATATTATCTATATGTGGTATTAATTTTACTGTATTACCTCATATAAGACTGTTGCGTTCCCATGGAGAAGAGGTCCATAGCAGATATAGGAATGTCCAACAACCCAGCCTAAGTCAGAAGCTGCCCACCACACCTAAAAAATAAAATAATAAAATGCATATATTTCATTCAGAGAAATGTCATGTAATGTAAATTTAAAACCACGATTACCTCTCCAGGTTGAAGTCCATATATAGAAGACATTGACCAGTTTAGCATGACAGCATATCCTCCAGTGGGCCTAACCACACCCTAAGGAGAGAAAAAGTGAAGCTAAAATCAATAAACAATGTGTGAAAACACTATCTTCATAGCATCCACTTTAAAAGTTCCTGATTTAAAGTATTTTAATATTAGCTACAAATTACATTAGCTTTTATAAAATTATCTTTGAATCATTTTTGGGGGGTCTTTCAATAGTCAACACAAAATAATTTGTCCTCATTAGTGCCATTTGTCTCACTATGTGAGAATCTATTCTCACATAACATTATTAGTCTTCTAAAGAAAATGTGATTTCACAATATCGCATGCAATACAAACTTTTCTGATGGTAACACACATTATCAACACTACATTTTCAGATATATTTCCAGAACAAAAATTAGTGTACAGAAAGGTAAAATGTAGTTATATGCCTCAAATACAGACTAACATAAGTACCTGTATTTCTTAAGATGATTAAATAATAACAGACTGCTTAGAGTAAACAAAGTCATCTTCTAACTGGAATGTCATTAAAATGCTTCACTGGGGATCATGCAAGCATATTTTAAAGCTGAGCAATTCTTTAATTATGAATTCTAGAACTTTTAGGGATGAATTCCAGTTAGTTGAATCTAACATTAAAAGATTCTTATATTACATTTTGGGGAAAAGTATGGATCATTACATTACTGTAGTACAGTTTTCACAAATCAGTTTCTAGTAGCTTTCCCCAACACTGGGAATATATTCAACCTCAATACAAGACTAGTATTGGAACACTGGGTACAAATGTCACCATAAATAAGAATAGTAAATTTAATAATTACATTCATTTATTGTTTCATTAAAAACATTAATCATCATTGGCTCAATAAGAGTTAACCACATGAATACTCAAAATGATTAGGTGAACAACTGCTAAAAGATACAAGGTATATTCCACTCGCATGTATTTTGAAGCATGTTTTAGTGCAACAATAACTGCTCTATGCAAAAGATAATTGCTTTTTATAAAAAAGTAAACATGGATCTAATCAATAACTGTGCAATTAGTTATGCTTTTTGGCATAGTTCTGGACCTTAATACACATAGCAAATCAGGGCAATGAAACAGATTGACTTTTCATTGGTTACTAAAATTGCTGCTCTCCTTGGGTGCCACTAATAAAACATATGTATCAAGCTGCAGAACATTATTTTATTCACCAGTAATACCTGGTTTCTTAGCAAATATCAGATGTAGCTTTGTTGGTATTTAAGAGATATTTTCTAGGTTGTATGACATGTTTAGCATGCAGCTGGCCCTCTTGATCTCCATGGGAACATTAGAAATCCTAAGCCCCCTGCCAGTAGGCTTTAAACATGCACTTTCCCATGTAAACAAAACAGTTACTTTCCCACTGTATCCTATCCTATGTTCCATGCACTTTGCTAGTTTGTTCTACTGAGAAGATATTTTCCTATGGCTCAACAGACTGATGAATCTGATATTAATCAATTTGCAAACACTTCATAAAAACTATTCATTTTACAGACTAGAAAAAATAGCTTTTTGTAGACAATATGCTGTCTATGTGTTATGACAGATGGAGATACTTAATATCAGTAACAATTTCACTTAAAATTGTTTTAAAATTTTCTCTCCATCCTACATGCCCCTGCATTTAGAACCCATTTTATCAATAACTCTAAATATTGTAACTAGGTAAATGTTTATATCATATGGTATAGAGGGTAAGAAGCATTGACTAGAAATAATGACAAGAAATAAAAGGTGAGGAAAGACAAAACTGAATAGTAATTCAGTTGTAAAACCTGGAAGATAAATTTAAAGGATAAGTTGTCAAATTTCTATTTACCTCTCAGATGAGTACTTCTTCAAACAATATTTACCAGTGTCATTTTGTCTGTAAATTAGTGAATACTTAAGCCCATCTGACCAAAAAAATGAGACTTAAAAATGAGACCATGCATGAAAAAGCATTTAATGCTGTAACGACTAAAATTTAATATCTCATTAACAATATTCTTTCCTTAGCTCTAGAAATTATTGCTTTTTATTTTACCCTGTGCTCCTATCAGCCAATAAAGGCATAAATATCAAAATAATTAGAGATGCCATCAAAGATTCTCTTTAAAACAATTAAAATGAAGGAGAGAGAAAAACTGTAATTTATGTTTTTCATTAGTCTTTGATATCCACTTACTTTTGTTTTTTAAAGAAGGAGTATACAAATTTCACTCAAGCATCTTTTTACCATCTATTAAGCTAGACTCTAGATCTGCAATTTGGTCTTCCCTTGGCAAATGCTTGGATAATTCAGTTTCAAATTTCTGAGTATTTGATATGGTGTAGAAAAAAGAACTGCATAGCTTCATGTTCTCCAGGTTCATCTTTTATAAGGGGTTTGAAAGTATAAAAATCACAAAGATTACATTTCAAAAGAATTTCTTTTAGCATAAATATTAATTTGTGACAAAAACAAAATGATAAAGCATCTTCGTTTCCTGTTTATAATCACATTTTCCAGGTAAGGATGACTAAAGGGCAAAAGAGAAACCTCATTCAGCCTCTGAAAACACAAAAATTATGCTCAAAAAAATTAATCATTATACTGTAAGCAAAATTAGTTGGAAACTAAAAACAGCACTTTTACAGTATAACTGAATATAGGGTAAAACTACAAAATACCAGTGCTTACCCCTAAAACACAAACCTGATGCATTTTAGACTTTCGAATCTCTATTGTTACCTTCTATATGTACTTATACTCTATCTACCTTAAAAGTAAAGTCAGTCGATGATCTAAAACATTCTAAGAAAAACCCCGTAACCTGCTAATATTCTGTTCTGATCTTTTGGTAGGATCAGTCATAATTCTTAAAGATCTCTGGAGAACTTGAAAAATATGCAGATGGGACTCACACTCTGAGCCCTGAATAAACACACAAAAGCAAATCCTATCTCAGAAATAGGAATGGAAACGCTGTGACAGTGCTGTCTTTCGGGAGGGGGGACAATTATAATGTTTATGGGGCTTAAAAATTCAATCAGTGCAAGTAAAAGTAAAGGCTGAATATTAGTTACTCAGAAATGGGACCACAAAGTTATCACAGATAGTTCTTTATTACTGCCAGCTTACTGAGCCACTTCTGAAGACAAGTAAAGTCACAGATTCCCATAAATGGGGCCATTGAAGTAAAACATAACACATGTTGGTATAAACGTCGTGTGAAGTTTTGGCTGCCACAACTTGAAAAATACAACTGCAATAATAGGTATTGTAGAAAAGGAGGGAAGACTGAAGTGTGCAGTAAGATTAAGAATTTGGGATTATTCGTTGTAAAAATGCATCTTTTTTAATGGTCTTTAAATATCTGACAGGCAAATCTCAAAATACTAAGAGCAGAAAAGTTTGGAGTCCATGACAAAACTTCCTATTTCCTACATTAAGGCCCTTTATCATTTATTTTGTAATAAATGATCATACAAGGCAAATATATACATATGTAAAATGTCTATTCACATATACATGTAAATATATGCATGTATACATGTATGTGTACATATGTATATGTTTATGTACCTGTATGGATATATCTGTGTGTGTGTGTATCAACTCAGCCTGACAAGAAAAAATAAAGGGGGAAAATAAAAAATCTAACGCATCAGCAATAAATCTTGGTTTGATAGTGGTCTGACAGATGGTATCACCTCTTTCTAGAATAAGCCTCCACCCCTTTTCTGAACCTGATGAACTCCATTGTCTCCACCAGGAGTACTTCAAGACATTGCAGAAGTACTATGTCTTCTGGGAAACTTCCTGCCATCCTATTGTTTGTGTCAAAAGTCTCTCTGGTACTCTTTCACAGCCCTCAATGCCTGGAAACCTCATCAGAGAACTGATGTCCCCACCTACTGCTGTGCTTTCTCTACCACTTTTGAGCACTGTGAGGACACCTTTGTATCTTCAGCACAGTCTCTAGTGTAGAATAGGCATTTAATACATTTGTTGACTATCTAAATGCGTTAACAGTTGAGTGTATAAACATGTGTAAATGATACAATTATTTTAACAAATACTCTTCATTCAGGAGAAATCCTTGACACTTGTAGAATTTAGTAAATCTGGAATCTTCTTAGAAGGCATGAAATGTTTCCATTTGGGATATTTCATTAAACATAAAATATCTTGTTATAGGCTTTCAGAATACTCTGAAACTATGTCTGTGGAGGATACTTTGGCAGCTATGTAATTTTTTTTTTATCAATCTGAACAACTGAGATAAGGGGCAAAGGTGCAACCAGGTCAGCATTTTAACTGCAAGAGCATACCACAGATTAAACAAAAAAGTTCACTACCGTGTTTTATTTGACTTGCACTCTGTTTTTTCTAGGGTAGGGAATATTATTAAGTCACTTAAACAGGAATGAAAGCTACATAAATTACCTAAGTAGGGCACACCAGGACAACGGCCTTATCTACCACTTTCTTATCATGCTTTCTTTTCAGTCTTTTCCTTTTGGTTTCTTTCCCCCTGTTCTCCTTTGACACTGAACTTTTTTCCTTTTTTTTTTTTTTTTTGTGATATCAAACTTTATGATATCAAACTGAACCAGATAAATATTATGATCACTAAGTCTCCCATACCTCAAAGGACATCTCATCCAGATGAGGGATTCTTTTATCATGTAGTATTTTGAACTATCTCAAATAAAGGCGCCCACACCAAACAAAATAGAAACCCACAACAAAACAGAAATGTATCCAAAGAAGCTCAGATGTGGTTGCTGGAATAAATATTCCAGCAGCTAACAGATTAACCTGTCATACAGCAATCTGACAAATCCAGGGTTGGCAAATGTTGATATGCAAATATGCCCTAAACATATATACAAATTCTAACCAAAGAACAGATTGCCTTATGTGTATTTTATATTTGCCTATGAGAAACAAGCATTTTTACGTGGAACAGTTTTATGAGCTCACAACATTATTTTTCTTCATGAAGATCAGGGATCGAAGCAGAGAATCATATGATGACATGATATTTATATCTAAATGCTTCATTAAAGCATGTTGTGTTCATTTTTCTTGTACTTATATTCTGTGGATTTCAACATTAAGATTTTAGGTTATATTAATCCTGAATATATCTACGAAAAATGAAATGAAAATTGTACAAATAAGGAGGCATCCAAGAATCTTACTTACTAAAGAAGAAAGAGAATGTTCAACAAATATTCTGAGGCTCTGCCTGGCTCAAATTTTAAAGTTAGTGCTACAGTGGATCCAAAGAAGGATCAGATATATTCTAAGACCTCAGATAATATTCATTGTTATAAAACTAAATAAATAAAAACCAGTATGTATAATATAGGTTAAAAGAAGTGCCATAAAAGTCTGTTTGTAATGTAAAATTTAAAGCAATTTCAATTCTAAAGTACACTGGAGGGAAGAGGAATCTAAAGAGATAACTACCTTCCTTTGCCATTCTATATGTGTTAATTTGCAAAGCCCACTCACTCACATAATGTAATCACCAGTCCTGCACCCCAATGACCTACATGTGTCTATCTTCAACCCCATATGTGTAACTCTTGAGCTCAGACTCTCATTTCCTACTCTTGACTGGGCATCTTCATGTGAAATGTCCTAAAGACACACCATGTTATGTTAGAAACTTTTAGTTTTACTAGCCTTAACACATCCTTCGATTCTATTTAATGAATATTCAAAAGCACCCTCATATGTTCTTAGATTCAAAGTCTTAGACTCCTATCTTAGAGTAAAATCTGACTCATCCCTATGAAGTGAGCTGTCCTATGTAAAGTCCCAAACTAATTAAACAGCCTGACAACTAATTTGTCTCCATTGCGTGTGGTCACCTATCTTCCCAACTAAAAGATCACATTCTGTCTTGCATTACCTGTGTTCATAACTACTAGACTAGAAGGACTGTGCTTTACTCTTAGTTGTATCTATTCCAGCACAGAATGAGCACTCAATGCACGTACATGTACATTAAATTGGGCCAAATTTAATGTGGGTACAAAATTCTCCACACAATTCAAACACACTCAAATTTATTGAAATAAATTGTCTTCAGGATGGTACATTAGGAGGAAAGTGAGGATGATAGACATATCAGAGGATCTTCCGTTCAGGCACTGAAAGGAATCCAGTAAAGAACCTCTCAGAAAAAACCTGGAGTAGCTATATTCTTCCATATATTCTTCCTTATTTGGAACCATTTTTCAATCTAGTCCTCTGTGTGTTACTTTTATTTCATTTCTACTACACTGGCAAGTCAGCTTTTAATTTCTCAAAACCTTTTCTTCTGCCCCTTTCATAAGATTCTACTCCCAGTCACAGTCAATTTCAGTGACTTAAAGTCTTGAGGTAGTACAAATGTTATTATGATTTCTTCAAGCTTTTAAGAAACTGTAATTTTTAAAAATTAAGTTATACTATGTTTTCAGGGTCATGAGTTTTCTCTCATGTTGATACTTTTATATTAGATTATAACTTTGCTGAGTCTCCTTTTATTTTATAGGCAAATGTTCAGTTGAACTCCAGGTGGCTAGTGTACAATACGGAATTGGAAAAAGTGGAGGTTGAGAATTGTGTTCAGCAGATTATTTGGAATGCTTTAATAAATAAATCTTCCAGACTTCGATATGCAGAAACATTTTTCAAGTCACTAGAGATGTAACAATCATAAGGCTCCAATTCTACAATGAAACAAGTATCTTCATGTGTATGCATCCATGCATGAATGCAACAAAGATTTATTGAGCACCAACTATGTACAAAGCATAATGGTAGACCAAAATATACTAAAAAATGACCTGTGTCCTCAGAGAGAATATATTCTCCTACCAAAAGTGTTCTTTTTCACAAGCCAAGTTTATATGGAACATCTTAAATTTCCTTTCAAAAAGCTAATCTAATCTAATAGAACCACTGTTTAAAAATGATTGAGATGAATTTTTCAGAACACTGATGCTACAGAAATCTAATGGTAATACAGAAGCCACTGACCTTAAGGACGAGAATGATTGTGAAAATCTCTTCCCCTACCAAAATTCTATGATTCGATGAATATTAAACCAAGGATTAAAGATGAGTAAGGAAAATGATACTGTTATCCTTTATAAGGGTCTATGAAGAAACAGTGTTATTTGGAGATACAAGGCAAAAGTAGTATTTGTTGATATTTGACATATTTATAAATATTGATGTTTTCAGCTTTGCTTTATAAAAACACCTTTCATGGTAAACAGGTTTAAAAATCCTTGAGTGTCTTCCATGCTGTAAATCAAATAGCTCAATACTTTGGATAAACTGCCTCTGTTCAAACTGCTGAGGCCAATTCTCAAACTCACATTTATAATAAAGAATTGAATTACCCTATATCGAAAATCAATTCTATACTGCATGAAACCTATACCTCAATTTAAAAGAATCAAAATATTTCATTTAAAATATATTTTTACGTAACATTATTACCAACTGATATTCAATCAAACATCTACTAAAGCAATTGTATATTTCTGGCATTTGAGATGATTTTAGAAGAAATGAGAGCAAAACATTTGATGTTAAATAGTAATTTTTTTTATATTTAGCATTAAGCCTAACATGTCTTTAAGATATAAAGTAACTGTGTCAAGTGAGATCATGCCACCGCACTCCAGACTGAGGACAGGAAAAAAAAAACAAAAGCAGAGAAAGTGACAGTTTAAACTTCAAAGTACAGTCTGCAAATATTTCCAGTCAATGATCAAACATTTTTGGTGCCAAGTAAATCTGCTGCTATAGATAGTTATCCCTAAAAGAGTGAGTACCTTAGGCAATCCCGTTGTGCCAGATGTGTAAAGAACGTACAGTGGGTGTTCTGAAAGAACAGGAACACAGTCATGTGATTGGGCTTTCGCCATCTCTTCATCCCAATCAAGGTCACGACCTGGAGCCAAAGGAACCGCCTCCTGCACAGCAAAAATATAGGAATATGTACTGTAATAAGGAGATGAAATCAAGAGAATAAAAAGTAGCTAAATCTACTTAAGTCTGAGCATCTGGCTGAAAATCTAGGCCTATATGGCACTAAACATCAGATTTATGACTAAAAAGTTCAAGTTCATGATTTAACATAAATGTTTATAAAAAGTCCAAAAGTGTGGTATTCATTTCAACTAAACTGACAAAAAGACATGTTTCATTTAAATCTAATGATATCCTTAAGAAATTCAGTCTCATGCAATAATGTTTTCATCAACACTCATAGCTTAACAAGGTTTCATGTTTTTATAGATGTATGTACACTAATAATTTTATAAACTAATTTTTATTTTTCATAGCCTATTTCTTTTACTTTGGAAGTGTCATCTTTATAATGGTGTGTCAACTAAGCTATTAAAATTTATCTTCATACAATGGCCTTTAGGAGTAATACCACAGATACCTTTCCAAATAAGAAAGCAGTAATAATTCTTCAGGAGTAGGGAAGAATTCTACTATTGCTTTTTGAAGACTAAAATCCAGTTTTGAAATTTAGTCAGAGTCTGTAATGTATCTAAAATATGATGCAAGTTTTTCTCCTTCTAGGTCATTCATTATTGTTGGAGAAATGTTTGTTTTCATTTTTTGTTTCAAGAACCAGCTCTGTGTTGTAAACATTGTGATAATACAGTCATGAGTTAAACAGATACACCTTTAAAGAAAGTAGATAGGCTTCTTCAAAAATAGTGACAATGGAATGGGGAGATGGGTCAAAAGCAGGGAAGTGGCTCTTGGAAAAGTTACTCTGATGGGGAATTATAGCTATTTAAGTAGAGTTAATGCCAATTAAAAGTCTGGTCATTTTCTTAAATGTTAGCTGTGCTCAAGATCACACATCAGGAAGTTTATAATTAGCAAACATGTTAGCACAAGCACAAGCAAAGTTATATAATACTCGGTGAAAATTAAGAAGATTTACTATCTAGGGATGTAGGTAACCATATAATGGAAGTGATTCCTGAGATAACCCCAAAGACTGAAAAATTTAGAAAAAACAAGCCACTGCCATTTTCTAGGCTGATTAACACATTAATCAGGGTGGTAAAAATTGTTTATATATTTAAATAGGTACATTTGCCAATACTTTATTATAAATATGATGCCTATATGAATATGATACCTGTAAGAAGAAACACATTTATAGCTGAATTGAAGACTCCTTATCAAGTTGAAGTTTCAGGCCAAACTGATTTATCCAGCCTCACTCTGATAGGTACTGGCTCTGCCATTTAAATAAATAAAATAGTTGACTATGACCAAATCATATGTTTACATCTCTTTTTATACAATGAATAAAAGCAACTAAAAATTTGCAAATTACCAGGCTTTTGACATCACAGAGATCTATAAAAATCATCACACTGCAAAATAAAAACATAATTTGAGTGATCACAAAAATAATTACAGGTTGATAACTGCATAGGCCTCTAATGAAATTAGGACTTCAATAATTGGTTACTCTTCAGGCTAAGAAACAGAGGTATGGACAAAGGAGAGCTGACAAATGAAGAAAGAAAAAAATATTTTCACATATATGCATTTACTTCTATAGATATATCTCTCCTAGTTGTTATAATTCTTAAAAGGCAGTTTTGGGAGAGTCCAGGAGTGATTGATGTTCTATCCTTTGATTCCATCTTTGCTTGCCTGAGGCTTAGGTGTGGCAGCCAAGTTTTTATCTCCTCTTACAAAAATGCAATCCTGGTTAGTAAGACACACCACTAAGCCTCATAATTTGTGTCTCTCTAAATTCAAAGCAAAGCCAGTTCACTGGGCTTAATTGCTGCCTAAACAGCAGGTCTAATAGAACAAGAGACCTCTATAGCCCTTACCTATATCAAAACAGAGGAAAGGATCTGCAGAAAAAGAGAAGCAGAGAAAGCAAGCTAGTTACTGGGGGAAGCAGGCAGTTTATCCCTATTAAAAAGAGAAGAGACTTGCATTAACTTGCATTAGAAAAATCTGAATAAGGAACATTGATATCCATATCCAACATGTTTATAGTGAAAGACATAGCATATATCTTGTTGGTTACAGTCATTAAACTGGAGTTTAAATCCTGGTTCTGCCACTTATTAGCCATGACTTTGGACTATAACCTCTCCATTACTCAGTTTCTTTATCTGTAAAATACAGTGAGTAACAGCATCTGTTTCATTGGTTTGTTAGAATTAAATTTTAAAAAAGTATTTGGAAGTACTTAGCATTGGGCCTAGAACTTAGTACATCATATTTCTGTAAAAATTACATATGAATGTGAATAGCACACATATACTCATATGTATACATTATGTGTGTGTTCCTGCCATTCCTCTAAACTTTTCTTACCCAAAGCCTTCTATATTGCTGATTTTGCATTTCCTGATTTAAAGAGCAAAGAAGCTTTTTTAAAGCAAAGAAGCTTTAAAAAAAAATGCTTGTGGTCATCTGAAAGAAACTTAAAATTCTTCTTCAAGATCATAAGAACATTAAAATCACTAAGTGCAATAGTTCATGAACCACAGACTACTATAACTCTACACAGGAATTTAATGTGGCAATGGGAATTGCTAGGTGGTAATCAAAATGACATATTGTTAACACTCTGTCTCAGATCTTGTCATTTAAGTATTTTCAAAGAAAACGTCTCAAGAGTTCTACAAATTGCACATGATTCTTTGCACTCTTGCAATTTCACTTCTGAAAAAAAAATTAATCTGCTAGAAACCCAAGTTGGTCTCATCATAAATAGCTAGAGATTTGCTTGGGTAAAGAAGTAAGGTGATCATCAGGTCAAAGTTATAGGAAAAGTACTGTAAATTGTATTCATTGATATACTGTTTTCCCTTCCTTCATGGATCACAGAATAATTTATCCACTTAGAATATTCATGTTTTGTTTTACTGAGCATAGTTCTATTTCTGGCCTAAATACTTTTCTAAATTTTAAAAAGATATTTGCATGCAAATTAATCACACCACTCCAAGAGTCAGGACAGCTGAGGGATTAAGCATACAGTCATAGAGCATGCATTCAAATCTTGACTCTGGCACTTTCAAACTGGGCACGTTACTTTATCTCCATGTTCATTGGAGTCCTCTTTTATTAAAATAGGAATAATATTACCATGTAGTTAATAGAGTTACCAAGAAAATTTAAAAAAGGTATTCATTAGTAGAGTATCTTAAAAATCATACAGTAAGCAGTCAATTCTTGTCATTATAATTATTATAATCTGAGCTAATAAAAATACTTACAGCAATAGCAGTATACATATAACCCAATTCATTAATCTCACACATGTTTCTGTGCTTTAGTCTTTTGGTTTTAACCTAGATTTTCATGAAGTCAGTAAGTCTTCTTTATATATTCTCTAGAAATAACAATGACATTGAGCAGTATACTAAATAGCTTATAAATCAAGTGTCTCCTTTAAATGGTAAAAACTAAAATCATCCTTAGCATATTACCATAAGCAAGAATCAAATTCAATATTCAGATTACCATATTTGGACGATTATAAATGAGAATTTTGTCCGGTTTGTGTTGTCCTATTCTTAGCGCTTCTTCTATAAGTGGTATGTACTCTACCCTCCTTCCAGGTTCAATGCCAAATGATGCTGTAACCACCACCTTGGGCTACAATTAAGAAAGAATAATGGAGAGAAAGCTTTAACAATGTTAATTAAGGTAATCCCAATATTTTAGCTGCAGATTGGCAATTTCTAAAGAAACATCTGAATGATTCCATTTTCTATTGAATGGTCTGTAAACCAACAAACCCTTTTTAATTGTCATAGACTTAACCACTTTCACATAAATCTCACTTACCTGTTCAAAATTGCATGCTCAATGATGTTTCTGACTCATAGGTATGAAGTGTATAAGTTCCTTTCAAATAATTCATTAAGCCAGGTAGATTTGCCATGAACTAGTAAAATGCAAATCTTGAAGCCCCTTAAGAGGCCCCAGTAAGAGCTGGCTGTTGCTGAGGTTGTGGTGGCATTTCACAGATTTTCTACATATTTCTCTTCTAAATGCATAAAGAGACTGCAGCAAAAAAAGACCCAAATCTCCAATAATTTGTATTAATTTTTTTCTCATTCTTAATATATACTCACATTCCCCAAATATTAGATATTATTTTCTTAGAAAGGTCCCCAAATGATTTAAGCTCCAAGTTCCACAAAACCTAGACCTGCCCCTGTCCTTAAAATACACTTTAGGCTGGGCATGGTGGCTCATGCCTATAATCCCAGCACTTTGGGAGAAAAAGGCAGGCAGATCACAAAATCAAGAGCTTGAGACCAGCCTGGCCAACATAGTGACACCCCGTCTCTACTAAAAATACAAAAAATTAGTTGGGGATGATGCTGAGCGCCTGTAATCCCAGCTACTTGGAGGCTGAGGCAGGAGAATTGCTTGAACCTGGGAGGCAAAGGTTGCAGTGAGACAAGATGGCACCACGGCACTCCAGACCAGGCGCCAGACCACAGTGTGAGACTCTGTGTCAAAAAAAAAAAAAAAAAAGACACGCTTTATACTATTTACCTGACAACTTGCTAACTTGAAAAGTCATTCTTGAGGACAAACACAGGTGTAGCCAAAATGCATTTGTGGAGGGAACCACAGCTTGTGTTAATCCTCTTCTTCAGTATATTCTGGACATGCCTCAAATGTTTGACTACAGTCAGTGTTTGCTTAGAGCTTACTCCACAGTAAGCTCTAAACGGCCAACTTCGGATGCCGTTTACTTTTGTGTTTCTTATACCTAGCACAGTGCTTGGCATGTCATGAGCTTTCAGTAAACATTTGTGGAACTCATTAATTTGCAGAAAAAGAAGTCCTCATATTTTTAAGCATATTGTTTCTTCACCAAGAAATCCAAAGCAAAAGAGACAGATAATAAATTATTCAGAAGGCAGATAATCGACCCAAGGTATTGCATGTATTCCTGAATTCTGATTTCTAGTTATAATACATTTCATCTAGGAAAGGTTTATACGGTGCTAAATATATGCATACGTAGTACTGTCAGCTTTTTGAATATAATTTAATATTCATGAAACTGAGGCTCAGTGCAATTACATAGCTTGCCCCAGGTTACAAGTGGTGGAGGCAGAAAGAAGGCCAGTTCTGTTTGGTGCAGAACCTCTTTAAACCGTATCAAGCTGCCTTAAAACAAAAAGGGGAGAAAAAAGCAAAAAGTATGTTTCCTTTTATTATATTTTTAAAGGTCAGACATCTGAATGTAATTCACATTTTAATATCTGTAATACTCACAAAAAATAGCTCTAGATAGCATTCCCTAAAATTAGAATTCTGAATAAATAAAAGCAAGCTACGTATCAAATTAGGAGCATATATAGAATATATCAAAGCTAGAATTTAATAAAGTCAAAATTAGACTCTTCCTCTGAAAAAATAATTCCTTTCACATTTCTATTAAGAGTCTTGTTGGAGATTTTATTGAGTCTAGACTGACTTGTTAGAATACAACCTTTCCATCATCTTCCGTTAAACCTTTTTCTTTAGCCTATTTATTTGAAGATCATGACATCAAAATCATTCCTAATTCAACTACACACTATTTGTATCCCACTACCTCAGATATATATCTCTATCTCTATCTTCTCTCTTTACACATGACCTGCCCAATTGCCTTGTCCATAAAAGCATTTATTGCATAAACTCCTTAACAAAAGAGTCTTAGGGGTGTGTATGTGTGTGTGTGCACGCACGTTTTCAATGAAAATTCCTTAAGTGGTATACCAAAAGTTTTGTAAATCCTTATTTATTTTATGTATTGTAATTCCCCTGTAACTTATCACAATTTAAAAAGTTTTATTTGCAGGTCAGTGACTGATATTTTTTCCCTAGATTTTCTTCGTAAGCACTAATGCAACATGTTTAAAAAGAAAAAAGAAAAAAAAAAGGACCCAGATGGTTTGTCCAAAAATCAGCTTTCTTATTTTAATAACTAGCCTATTATAAGATAAACTGAGATATGCAAAGCCTCAACTCTATACCTAGTATTCAGGGGGCATTCAGTATACATTAGCTCTCTTCCCATTAAGAATGTCTCATCTTGAGCTTGTAAAACTCTAAAGGTTAACCATCTCTTACTCCGATAAGAACCTTCCTCCCAGAGTCCTTTTTCCCCTTCATATTGCCCAAAACACCTATCAATGGTTTTTATTTCAGATTCCAGCTTCACTACTACTCATATACTGCAATACATATCTCCTCTTAACATTGCTTAAAACATGACACTCACCTGTTCAAAAAACCTTTACTGGTTAACAGAATCCAGTTCAGATAAAATCTGCCTTTGCAAGCTCGCCTCTCAGCTTTTAGTCACGTTAGTCTACATTACTGTCCTTCCAAATGAATTTTACCATCTCCTGTCTCTATTGCTTGAGTCAGAATCTTTTTCTGCCTTTTTGGGTCCTGCTATGTTATTCTCTTACATTAGCTGAATCTTAGCCAAGATCTAACTCAAATCTCACCTCCTTTAGGAAGCCTTCTTTGTTTGCCCTGACTGAAAGAAAATGCTCCTTCCTCTAAATCAGGGGTCTGCAAACTATGGTTGTGAGCCAAACCCAGCAGACAGCCTGTTTCTGCGAAGTATTATTGAAAAATATACACCTATTGTGTATGTGTTGCCTCAGGCTGCTTCTGTGCTATATGTAACAGCAAAGCTGAGTAGGTGCAATAGAGATCACGTCATTCATACTGCCTAAATATTTAACGTCTGGTCAATTTACAGTTAAAATTTTTCTAACTCCTGCACTAAATTTATAGGTTACTAATAGTTAAAAATTTTTAAATGAGTACTATATGTCAGACGCTGTGCTGTTTTAAATACCTCAATGATATTTCAAACAGACTCATGATATATATATGTCATATTTTCTTTATCCGTTCTTCAGCTGATGGTCACTTAGGTTGATTCCGTATCTTTTAAATTGTAAATTAAGCTGCAACAAACATATGCATATCGGTGTCTTTTTGATATTTAATGTAATGATTTCTAGAAAAAGTATCTATCAACCATCCCATTTGAAGGGAGGATCTAACTATTATAGATCATTCTCAGATGATTTATTCACAGATAAATATGACTAGGTTATAGGTAGCTACAGCTTGATTTCCCAAAATAAAGCACTTACCTTTACATGATCAATGCGACTACTTAGTTCTTTAGAAGCAAATCCCCCAAATATGAGACTGTGGATGGCACCTATCCTTGCACATGCCAGCATGGTATATATCGCCTGTGGGATCATGGGCATGTAGATAACCACAGTGTCACCTTTCTTGATGCCATGCTTGACAAAGACACCAGCCAGCTTGGAGACCTATATCAAAACCATTAGATCAGTGAAGTGTTTTTTGTATTATTTCACTAAACTTCTAACTTAAGGCAGTAATACTAGATGAGGATCACCCTCCTGGTAGTAGATTAAAGCCTGAGTAACATGTACATGATGATGATGCTAGTAAAACAGACAGTTATAATTATTGATTATAAACCAACCTACTATTATTTCATGCAAACTCGATGACTTAAGATTGCTTAACCCGTCATGTCACAACATTTTTACCGAGCAACTATTATATGCCAGACATGGTATGCAAGAGTTGGGAGCACAATACTGAGAAAAGACAGACACAAACTTGCCCCTGTAGAGCCTATATATATTGCAAAAGATGAATCTGTCAGGTGAACAGAAAACAAAATAATTACAATTTAGATAGATGTTGGGTGACTGTTAAAGGAAAAAATTATATATTAATAAAGAAAACCTATCATTAAACACTAATAAGGGCAAATAAGACAAATTCTACTATATTCACATTTTAAAGAAAAGGTAACTAAGGCTCAGAGTTAATAGATAGCTAAACAAGGTCACAGAACTAGCAAATGCTGTAACAGGACATGATCACAGGTCATCTGACCTCATATTCTTTGTTTTCTACTGCCTCAAGCCAATTATTTTTTATAGTTTTTTTACACTAATTACTTATACAAAGTGATTTCCCTCTGTATTTGAATAAAACATACACAGTTCTGTTTTGTGTTTCTGAGACCTCAACATACAAATGTCTCATGTAACATGTTTTTGTACTTTCTAGCAATAAAAACAAAACAGATCATAAGCCCACACATGATGTAATTTATTGCAAGACTCCCTCCCAGGGGCAATTATAATGGGCTGTGGGAAGTATGCCCAGACCTTAATGAATAAGTAGTTCAACATTCTTTCACTTAAAAAAAAATTAAGTATCTATTATATGTCAGGCACTGTTTTCAGATACATCAGATCAGTAAATGAGACAAGATAATCTCTAGCTTCCAGCTACATACACTTTAGCAGGGGAAATACTTACAATAAACAATAAACATAATAAATAATAAAATTATGTATTATAGTAAAAATATCTTCAGTCATATGGGGGAAGGAGGTAGAGCAGAGTAAAGAGGATTTGGAGTGCAGGGGAAGGGGTGGATGTAATTCTCAATGGAACCTCACTGAGAGGCAACTAAGAAAGCCACAGTTTAGTAAGACAAGTAGGAGATTGAAAAAAATGTGTATACGAATGTACTATTTTAGGCAGAGAGAACAACAGTGCAGTATAAACGTGTAAGAGGTAAAGGAGATCATATGTGATGTAATCAAGGAACAGCAAGGAGACCAGGGGCCTGGAGAAGAAACAAGTAAGAAGACAGTTGTCAATCAGATCAGGGGGCTGAAGGGCCTGTACGGGCATGGTGGGAAATTGGAAGGGCCATAGCTTGCCTTTGAATGTGACCATCGAACACAATGAACAGAGGCGGCTTGGGAGAAGAAATTAGGCCACACAGCTATTTGTGGTTCCTTTCATTTTAGTATCTCCTACTTTCTGAACAAGTTTAAAGAATTCTGAATCCACTCGAAGTGCTACTGAAACTTCAATAAATAAGGCATTTGATATGTTACTTTAGGGTTCACCTTGTTCTTATCAACTTCAGGTGGAAAATTATCAAAGAAAAAACATATTATTTTTATCCAATGACATATTCTTATCCTACCATAAATGTCTGAGTATAGTTACAATTTCTATTATTAGCAAAAGGGAAAATATTTTAACATCGGTTGTTTACAATCAATAATTTTTCAGCTTAAGTTAACCATGTGCCGTTCACCCAATTCACATTCATTTTTGCACCTTCTTAAAATTGTTTTTTGTTAATAATTTAATGGCTTTATACAAGCATAGACCACTATAATTGATTTTCAGTCTGACACCAAGGGCAATATGGATCCCAAGGGAACAGAGCCAGCTAGCAGGAAGATACTACACTGCCAGTGTGTGAATAACTGAGTTGTGAAGGAAGCCTAGAGCAAACTAAATGAATATGTTTATTTAGATATAACAATATGTGACTCTTCCCACTAGAAATTATCTGAATCATTTTAGCAGTAATTTAAAGTCATACATAAATATCCTGTCATTGGTTCAACTTATGTAGTATCTGCTGTATGTCCTAGACTGAAGTCAAGCCTGCAGATACAAAAATGAAAAAGAAATGGTAGGTCCTTAAACCAAAGAAATTTGGAGTCTGAAAAAAAAAAAAAAAAAAAAAGACAAAGGAATAATTATGGTAAAATAAGAAAATGCAACAACAGAAATTTATATATTGTAAAATGATGAATACATATTTGGTTTATATATAACAATACATAATGCATCAGATAGAAGTAAAAGCTTTAAATTTCAGAGTTATAAAATGAAAACATTTATATGAATAATAAAAACTAAATTAATAAAAGTTTTATGTATTCATTGTAGAAAATCTTTCAAAACCAGTCCTTGGGTTAGTATAATTTTATGACCAAATGTTCACAGCTCAAAAATAAAGATTGGTCAAAATTGGCCAAAAGCCATGGTCTACAGGACAAATTAGCACTTGCTTCAAAAACAGCAAGTGTGCTCACCTAAGGAAAATTATGCTTGTATGAAAAAAGATACTCCTAGCATCCAAATTGTAGCAAAAATACAGTGATCACCGGCAACTTCAAAACCACATCAAAGAAAACTCTATGAAAAAGAAGACAAGGGAAGGCATATTTTCAAAATGCAGCAATGTTACACAGCAAACCCTTGTCTAAACAGTAACAAAAAATAGAACTAATTTAAAAACCAACCATAATATCTGAGGAAACAGATTGCTAAAATTATAAATAATCGTTCTTGAGAATATGCAGAATTTTCATAGAAAGAGTTATATAAAATACCTGTACCTTACTTGTAAATGTACTATATTAATCATGTGTTCATGTACACACGCATACATATTTAGTCTGTTTTACTTGTATACATACAGACAGCCATTGAAAAGATTAAAATTTTAACTCTAATGAATAACTTACTCTTTTGGTCATGCATTAACTATACATCCAGGTAAATATTTGTGAAAATAATCAATTATTCTAAAACTGCTTAAGATCTGGTAGTAAAACTATCCCTTTTGAAAGAGAATTTTTAGGAATATAAAGATTTTCATATAAGAAGCTTCTAGGAATGTAATATTTTTAGACAGTTACAGTTAATTAGATACAGCATTGAAATAATTTTCATTTAAGATAATGCTAAGCTAAATCAATTTAATTTGAGACATGTCTCTTGAAAGCAGGAAAGTTAGAGATGTTATTTAGAAAAGAAAAATCTTTCTTCCAAAGATAAAAACATCACATGTACATTCACAAGTAAAATTATCTATCTAAAACACAGAGGAATATTTATATTTAAGAATGGAATTCTATTAAATTTTTCAAAAAATATCACAAAATGCTATCTTACATTCAAAATCGTTATCTGACAGTGGTTCAGAAAATATTTACTAGCACATTTCTTCTCAAATAATTTTCTCCAAATGAAGGAGTAAATACCATTACTCAGAATAATCATTTTTCTCATTACAAGTTTCTTCACATGTGGGTTTCAATCAATATTCGGTTATTTTCAGACTATGTATTCACAAGCAAAGTGAAATAGAAAATTATTTAATCCCTTTAGTTCAAGCTCAAAATAACCAATATTTCAATAATCTTTTTGCTTTCAAGGCTACTGTGATTTTCAGAGTACAATTTCATAGAAAATTAGTTAACGCCTATATTTCTCTATGTATATGTGCTCACAGTCTTGATAGGGAATATTGTCTTCCATTTCTTTAATATGTTAAAATTTACAAGAAAATCATCAGAATTTATCACATCTTATAGAAAATATCTTTTTAATTTTAAAACAATGTTTTTATGTAACAGGCCATTGTGGACAGAGAAGATAATTCTACGTCAAAGAGAAGTCCAAGGTCTAAAAGAATGGAATACGTAATTGATGCCTGTCATTAACACACAACAGGAGTAGGGTGCATTCAACAAAAAGACAAAGAATAATTAAGGATTGCCTCCACTTTTTACCATTTTAACATCTCTCCACTCTAGACATTAATAATTGGGTAATTGTAACTTCCTCCTGCTTTTACGCACTGGAAAATTTCTGCCAAAATCTCTACTCATCATGGCATGTGCCATTTGGCTGAAAAAGTAAAGGCAGTTTAGTTTAGAGAGAGCAAACATTCGGGATGAAGAGGGTTGTGAGATGAACTGGAAAGGTATGAAGAAACAATATCAGATATGATGGAGAGCCTTGTTTTACCCATTAAGTTTAACCTAAGAGCAATGTGTAATAATTGAAAAATGTTCATCCTCTTTAAAAGTAGTTTCCAAATTCTTAAAATGTAATGATTATTGCATAAACTCAATTATTACCTAATAGGGATAAAAATAAATAAATGTATTTGAGAAACATTAAGAATGAGCTAACAGTAGGTTTTAGCAAATGACTGGAAAGTGATGCCATTCTTATTGGACATGTTTAAATTTGAGATGATAGTGGAACAACCATGTATAGATATCTACTCAGCAACCCTGCACATGATATCGACATCAGGAGAAAGGTGTGGGCTGATGATACAGAACTGAGAATAGCCAGTGTTGCACTGGGAGTAACCATCACATATGCGGCAAAAAAAAAAAAAAAAAAAAAAAAAAAGCCATTAGTGCAGATGTAATCACCCAGGAAGAATGTGTAAACTGAAAAGAGAAGGCAACCTAGAATAAGTAGGTTGCCTTATAAGTGAAGAAACAGGCAAAATAAGAAGTATTTAAGAAGGAAAATTAGACAAAATGGACACAGGAATGAAAGGAAAATGAGGGCAGAATGGTATACAGAAGTAAGTGAAGACTGTCAGAGAATGGACAAAAATGTTAGATATGATAAAGAGAGGAAGTAAAATATTGAACATCTATTG